GTGTACGTAGAAGCTAATATTTTCATACATAGTTGGTGGGAATATAAATTGGTGACCTTTCTTTAGGAAATATGTGATGTGTTTTAAGAGCCTTAAAAATGTTTATATTATTTAGATTCAGTATTTCTACTTTTAAGAACTTGTCCTAAGAATAAAAAATCTTAAGTGTTTGATAGTAGCTAAATAAAATTAATCATTTTTAAATTATTGATTAAGGCCATATATACCATGATTTTAAGTAGAAAAAGTGGTATAAAACTATATATAGATATAGCTATAGCTATAGATATAGATATAGATATAGATATAGATATATAATGTGACTATTTGCATGCATGTATATAAATACATTAATTTAAAAATTATAAGGCAATATAATGATGCCAATAGGTTATTTTTGTTTTCTAATTTTTTATTATTTTTCTCACTTTTCAATTTATTTTATGTATTATTATGTGTTGTTTTTACTCCACACCAGAGAATATTTTTTTCCATTGATTTTTAAGAGAGAGTAGAAGGGAGGAAAGATGGAGGGGAGGGAGGGAGAGAGAGAGGGGGCAGGGAGGTATATAAATGTGAGAGAAACATATTGATTGGTTGTCTCCAGCATGAACCCCAATCAGGGTTGATGTCAAACCTCCAACACAGGTACATGCCCTGTCTGAGGATCAAACCCAAGACCCTTAGGTGTGTGGGCTGGCACAACACTGGCCAAGGCTTAGTTTTCTACTTATATTTGAAAGAAGAATAATATGTATATCGTTCTTATAATCAGAAAATATATCGGAGTAAAAACTTAAAGAGAACTGACAGAGTTTAAAATGCAAATATCTATAATTTAATATAACTAGCTGATGGAAGGATTTCTATTAGCATTATATATATATATATATATATATATATATATATATATATATATATATATAATTATATAATTATCATCAAGAGCTCTTGTACTAAATTTTGACTAGACCTATCTGTGCTACAAAAGTAGGTAAATGTAATAGCAACCCAAGCACATGTAGACGTTAACACAAATCTGAGTATCTAGGCTATTGGGTCTTTTCACCTGTGTAATTAGGGCTTCAGTTTTACATAAAGAGCATATCCTAGCAACTTTATAAACTCTGGAGGCACAACTATGCTTTAGATAAAATGAAGAGGCCACAGATTTTATTTATACTTATATAAATATAGTCAGTCAGCCAGGATTATTAAAAAGAGAAATGAGTCTTAGGAAATTAACAGTCCAGTGGGGAGATCAGCATTTAAGTGTCTTTGAAAGTGGAAATAAGAGGTATGTATGAAATCGCAGAGGAACACTGAGAAATGGGTAACCAACTTCACCGTAGAGGTGGGGGAACCTTGCCAGGGAAAGTAACGTTAGAGATGGGCTTTGTTGAGTGAACAGGAGTTTTCCAGATGGAAACAGGGAGGGTCGTTCTAGATAGGAAAGGAGCATGTACAAAGAGCCAAAAATCTGAGGTAGCCTGGCATGTTCAGGGCCCGGTAGGAAATGTGAGGTGGCTGGAATGTGGGCTGAGAGGCAGAAGCAGGAGATAAGAGTGGAAAACGGGGCTAGGGCCAGAAACAGCCTTCACATACTGGTAGTTACAGTGCTCCTACTTCAGCAATGATTAATTGTGATTTTCCTGGCTAATAGGATCCTAATCATTGTAATGAGGTAGGATTCTACATTCTGCTCCCTTTGAATTACGGAAATGATAACTGTTATGACCTGTTCCACAAAGTAGGCTATAAATATGATTCTATCTCTTTAATTACTTTACAGTTCATTATCCCAGCCTTCCAGGCCTTATTGGCAAAAAGTACATTATCTGCTCCTGAGACCCTCCCACTGCCTCTAGAGGGTCCATGAACCCTGGGGCTTTCCTCGGACGAATAGCTAGTCTCTCCCCCTGTTCCCCCCCCACACACACACACCTGCAGCAGAAAATGCACATGACTACTGTCCCCTCTGGCAGAATATAGAATCCTATTCTAAAACTTTGATTCATGTGTTTGCCTTGGGCCAGTGCTGTACACCTAGGAGCCAGGGCCACAGTTTGAAACATGATGACTCCACCAGTTCTACTACCAAATATATTCGCACAATCGACTTCATATTGCACAGTGTTGCTATGGTTATTTTTGCTTTCTTATTGTTGTTTTCTTATATACTTAAAATTCTTAGCTTTTAAATCTAGTTTGGATTTGAGAGTCACAATATATTATCATTTAAAATTGGTCAATATAGATCGCCTTACATTAACTTTGTGCAGTTTTCAGATTTATCAAGCGTTTTTACTTTATCGTGACCACAAGTTGAGAACTGTTAGCAGGGTCGCCTAAGACCATCGGAAATTTACATTACGATTTATAACCGTAGCAAAATTACAGTTATGCAGTAGCAACGAAAATAATTTTATGGTTGGGGGTCACCACAACATGAGGAGCTGTATTAAAGGGTTGCGGCATAAAAAGGTTGAGAACCACTGGTCTAGATATTGAATGAAGTCCCATGTATTCCTTGTAGGTTTAGGGACAATGAGAATGTCAAAGGGGAGAGAGATTTGAGGGCCTACTCAGGTTTTTGCTTAACCACTGGCTTCCTAACCTTTCACCTTGAATCTGGAGTCGGTGCTGGTGTTCCTGCTGATGGGACCTGCGCTTCTCAAGGGCTTGAAGGTGGCGCTGTTGGTCTTTTCGGGCCAGCCATGCATTCACAGCTATGCTGTTGTTTGGAGCTTTAGCATTCCTGTTTCAATGGGCTGCTTCTATCATTTTGGTGGAACATCATTGGTCACCTGGCTGATCTGAGATGTGAAGGAGACTAATTCTGTATGGTAACACTTTTCAAGTGCAACACCAGATCTTCGGGGATATTCATGGCATTTTCTCTTAAAAACTAATTTTTTAAAACCCGTGCTAACTGCCTCTTGGGCATTTGAAGGCCCTTGGCAGACGTCCTCTCTGAGTATTTAGATTCCCCTTCTCCCATTGGATCAAAGTGTGTGCTCTGTGCTTGGATAGCCATTATGAAGATTTATATGAAGTGTCTATTACATGCCAAGCTCAGGATAGTCTTACATACACTCCCATCTCGTTGAATCCTCACAGCCATCCTGTGAAATCATGATGGCTTGGCCTAGAATATTCTCTCCTGTCTTCAGTGTAGGAGGCAGCAGGCTGGCTAGCTCAGTTTCCAGTGGTTCCCCGGCAGGTGCCTAAGGAGAGCAGAGCTCAGCAGACCGGCCTGCCTTGCTTGCCTTTGGGAGTGAACCAGTGGAGGGGTTTTAGGAGATGTGGCTGGGAATGTGGTGGAGGGCTTTGGATTTTATTCTCACTTGGACACCAAGGTTTGGGTTCATTTCTTCATTCATGAACTATCCTTAGGGCACCTACTATGTGCCAACACCCGAGGCACTGGGGGCATCACAGTGAGTCAGAAAACATCAATGCCTGTCTTCTAGAAGCTTATATACAGTCTGACTAACTGGGGTTTTCAGCAGAAAAGGAGGGTGATCTGGTTTAAGTTTAAAAAGCTCCTCCTGGCTGCATTGTGGAGTGTCACCTGCAGGGAGGCGAGGACCGAGGCAGGGGGGCCCCTTAGGAGCCACTACAACAATCCAGGCGAAAGAGGGGAGTGCTCGGACCAGTGTCCTGGCAGAGGGAGGAGTTGGGTTCTAGGCAGACTTAGAAGAAAACACCAGTGGGATTTGCTGAGCAACTGGGCGTGGAAACGGCCTGCCCAGGCTTTTCCTGGAACTCGGGACAGCTTGCGTCCTAAGCCTGTGCTTTGTGAATTATGTTAAAATCCTCAGGTGTCAAGTGGCTTCACAGTGATATTCAATTTGGTGACAAAAGTAGCTCATTTTCTGCTCCTTGGCCCTGGGCTTATGACAGGAGAACGTTGTTGGTGCTGGGGAGGCAGGGCATCGCTCTGTTCACCGGGAGCACTATCAGCGGCTGCAGTCGAGCAGCTGTGGCCTGGAAGGCCGGGGCAGCACTGGCATGGATGTCCTTGGGATGTGCAGTGTGCCCAGCTCAGAGCCACTCACAGCCTTTCCCTAAGGCTCCCCAGGGGTAAGGCAGGAGGGTGAATCCTCTTAATAAGACTTAAAGGCCAGCGTCCTGTTCTTCTGCCTGTGCTACTTCTCTGAAACATCCTGAGGGCTGACTCAGGCCAAGTTTTAATTCTTGGTCATGAAGTGGGATGTCAGTGCATTGTTTTCAAGTTTGAGAATGAGAGCTTCCTTGTAGTTAGCTTTTCCTGAGCAGACACTGTCCCTCAAAAAACGCTTCTATAGGTCAGTAACTTGAACAGCTCCAAGATACCAATGTGTATTTCCCACGTCAATGAAATTGCTACCAAGCTGTGTACGTGTGGCAATAAGGCAAGCAGAATGTTATCCTCACTCAGTTCATCTTCATTGACCTCATGTGAAGGGCCTCATAGTTCCACTCTGGAGAGGAAAATGTGGGTAAACATGAAGGGTGCCTCTGCTTGGCAGTGATTACATTGCTGAGAATAGCACGGGCAGCTTGCTGGCGTGGGGGGGGGACAGACTAAGAAGCAATTGCCTGCACACCTTATCCTGAAACAGGTTAAATGGGTTGGTTTCAGTTCATCGCTGGGAGCCCCACGAACTGCCCAAAGTCCCCTCACTCCCTGCATTTGTCTGTGACTCACCACCACTGCACACTGGGTCTTGCGGGGCAGGATGTCCAGTGAAAGATGCGATGAGAGGCTCTGACTTCCTGGCCCGCAGGCAGTGGTTGCACACCCCTTTCTGCCTTCACCCGCCCAGAGACCAGCCCTGCGGGTGCTCCTTCCCTGTGTCAGTCACGCTGAGTCAGGCAGCCACACCAGCGAGAGAGGAGTGCGCATGCCTCTGGCTCCTTGCTGCCTCCAGGATGCAGATGAGAGGCCTGGCCATCTAAAAAAAAAATTTTTTTTAAGTCAACTGAGGGATCACATATTTTGTTCTTTTCCTCAGGGCTGCGTCCAAAGAGGACTCTACGATTGGTGCTCTGGACCGCGGAGGAGCAGGGTGGAGTTGGTGCTCTCCAATATTACCAGTTACACAAGGTGAGAACAGCCCCACGGCTGGGCTTTTCACGTGGGCTGCGGCGCAGGTAACAATGCCCTCTTTGTCCTAAGAATTGTTACATGTATGGGATCATAGCGAGCTCCTGTTCCCGAGGAAGTTCCCCCATCAGATCAACCTGTGGGCCTACCAAAAATAACTACCATGCTGACTTTATCACCACAGATTGGTTGTGCCTGCTCTTGAACTTCATATACGTGAAGCCATTCCGTGTGTACCATATACTATGTACCATACAGAAGCCAGACTGAAGACTATGATTTTTGTGATTCATCATGTTGTGTTAACAGTGTGAAGTAGATTTGTGTTGGACGCATGTAACACAACGCTTTATCCATTCTCCTGTTGAGGGCATTTGGTTGTTTCCAGTTTGAGCTATTAGGAATAAGGCTGTTATGGACATATTTATACAAATATTTTGGTGGATGTAGGCAATTCTTTTTTTGTTTCCAGTTGCTGATGTATATCTAACCTTGTTAAAAACTTCCAAAGAGGTGGAGACTGTCCCGCCCTCCATTCCCACCTGCAGCATATGAGGTGCTCCCCATCCTTCCCAATACGCCGTACTGTTAGTGTTTATTTCTGGCCGTTCTTGTGGAAGTAACACTTTAGTATTTTTCAAGGTACATTTCTGAAAATTATCCCTCCACTGCTAATGTCATCTTTCTTTTCCCTTTCCTGCTTCCTTGCCTTAAGACTAGCACCATTGATCAGGCTGTCAAACCTCAGAGGGAAGGTAGGGTAGGGTGGGGGTCAGGAGGAGAGATCAACCAAAGGACTTGTATGCATGCATATGAGCCTAACCAGTGGTCACGGACAACAGGAGGGTGGGGCATGCATGGGGAGGGGTTTGGGATGGGAATGGGGGGATGAGGACAAATATGTGATACCTTAATCAATAAAGAAAAAAAAAATTTTAAAGAAAGACTAGTACCTTCATTCTGTGCCCTGCCTTGTGACTTAAGGAAGACCAAAGGCCTTTTCTTCCTGCATGAGGCTTGTGGGCTGCTAATGGTTAGAGTGGCCTTATTTCAAGTCAGAGGAACACCTGGAAGGAGCAGGACATAGAAATAAATGCCATCCAGCTCATAACCAGAATGGACGTGTTAGGACATAGACTTTATTCACCTCGCTGCTGGGGCTGCGGGAACTTCCCTGTGCCTGAGAGACTGAGGAGGGATTGATCCCCAGAAGGATTTGGAGAGGGAGATTTCTCTTACACCTTACAAAGGATGACCCTTGAAAACGTGTGTGTGTGTGTGTGTGTGTGTGTGTGTGTGTGTGTGTGGCAAAAATCCCTTTGTGTTATTCTTTCTTTATGAAATTGTTTTACAAAAATGTGGACGTCTTTACGTCTTTATTGGTTAAATTCACCTTGTACTACTAAGGAAATGTCACCACATATAGGAGGATGTCATGGTCCTCTAGTGATTTTTAGGACTTCACTTATAGAAGTGGAATTTAACTGTAGAATTAAAAAACATTACAAGTTATTTTATTGAATTTTCAAGTCAGTGAAGAAAATGAGTGTAGTCCAGATGCCATTTGCCTAATCTTCTTCTCATGGGAACAATGTCTCTTTCTTTTCTACTTTCTTCTCTATCCTTGAAGGAGAACAGGATGTAATTTCTCATGTCCTGAAATGTATAAAAGAAGAAAAAAACACCCTAGAATAGTTTCCACTGGATTGCGGACATTTTTTAATCTTTTCCATTTTAAGCAAAAATATGATCTGGCATAATTATAATGAGTCAGGTAATCTGGCCTGGAGAAAGCCTCATTACACAAGATAATCAAATAAAATAGATTGATACGTTCTATCTGGCATGAAAAATATTTTAACCTTTTCCTGATGTATTGCACAAACTACTGACAATTGAATTACAGGGACTACAAACACTGCTGTGTTCTAGTAGTCATTAATAAGGGCAATATTTTAAATGAGGATTGGGATATATGATCACTCTAAGCACATCAGTTTATCCTAGCCAGGTCTAAATCAGAAAATGTTAAAAGGAGTATGTATGATATTTTGTCAGAATTTCTTATGAGGCAATGCTTAGGAACAAAATTTCTCTTTACTTATGTAAATATACAAAAATGTTAGCTTCTTTTAGTAGTGAATGTCTTGCCAACTCTCTAGCCCACATTAGGTTCATGTTTCACTCCAAAATTAAGGAATAGGATAGAGATGCTTGTACAACTTCTTCATGTTATCTGGGCACATGGCTTCCTTAGATTTTATTTCACTGACCCATTGCCTCTGTACATGTTAATTTAGTGATAGTGACACTGCTGGAATGAGAACAGTTTTGTACTCGTCTGCAGCTCAGGTTGTAAAAATAAGAGCCCTGATATACACATTCAGCATAATTGTGTCTGGACTATGTCTCCAGAGCAGCCTGCCTTATATCATTAATGTCCCGTGCAATATAGACATACTAATCAGAGGTTATTGTCTCAATCATTGCTGCTGGGCTTTTATGCATCCTGTGTTTTTCTGTCAGTGCCTAGATATTTGCATTAGTCTATAAAGCACAGCACAAATTGGATTAAATTTTATTTATCTCAATGTATTCTTGGTCTGGAGCCCCTTATAGTTCCAACATTCTCATAATTTCTATAGCACACCTGGGAACTCTTTGGGGTCTTATTAGAATTTATGGATTTATTATTTTTTAAAGAGGCCCGTGTTTTGCATTTGTTTGCATTCTCCTGTGTAGAATTCATCACGAATATGGGATTTCTGAATTGTGGGGGGGGGGGGGGGGGGAAGGGGAGGGGGTATCTATATGGAGATGCATGTCAGCCTTGGGGAGAGATCCCATGTTATGCCACCTTCTGAATGAACATGCTTAGGCTTCGACTCACGTCCTTCCTTTACCTCTCTTCAGAAGGGTCCTCCTTCACTAGTTTTCATTCTTTTTTCCATAGAAAAGAAAAGAAATAGCCTTAATCGGTTTAGCTCAGTGGATAGAGTGTCGGTCTGCGGACTGAAAGGTCCCAGGTTCGATTCCAGTCAAGGGCATGTATCTTAGTTGCAGGTACATCCCAGTAGGGGATGTGCAGGAGGCAGCTGATCGATGATTCTCTCTCACCGATGTTTCTAACTCTCTATTCCTCTCTGTAAAAAAAATAAATAAAATATATATTTTTTTTTAAAGAAAAGAAAAAGAAATAGCTTAAAATAAAAAGACTAGCTGTGAGAACTAGAATGGACTCTTTCCATGTTCCTGGGGCCTTGCCTACAGTTGTGGGACATATTTATCAGCTCCCTGTGGCTTCAGATCACAGTGGCGTTTGACTTGGGCATTTGGTTGCAGCCCAGTACACCTAAAGAGCAATGTCCTGGCATCTGTGCCACCATTACTATCCAAAGTAAGGCAACTGGCTTTCAAGGTTGGTTCTGACAACACTGTGCCAAAGCACTGAGGTTTATTGTGAATTGTTGTGTTTAGCATCTTGTCTCATTTATTCTCCATCCCGAAACCATGAAGAAGAACGTCAGTTCACGGCCAGCCTCTTTGACAAGCCTACTAGAGGTTGCCTACAAGACACGAATGGCTTGTCTCAGGCCTGCTGTTGCTGACCTGGTCCTGATCTGATGCGGAAGGACCCTAGCATATTTAGTGCACGAGTTTTCCAAGGAAGCCAGATTGGTACGCAGGAGACCCAAATCTGAGTTGAGGTGTCATGCATTAAGCTCACATGTGACCTTATATGGGTCCAAGCCTTTGGGCCTAAATTGTCCCATCACATACACTCTGGTTTTTACGAAGTTACAGAGTCAGCAAACCTCTTTTGAATCACCTGCACTCTGTTTTCTTCCCTCCATCTTCGAAATCAGGGGTTGGCACACCTTTTAAAGAAAGGTCCAGATATATATTAAATATGTTAGAATTTCAGGCTGTATGGTTCCCCTGCTGAACTCTGCCATCTTAGTGGAAATTAATCAAATAATACTAGACAAATGAGCTAAGCTATTTTCCAATAAAACCTGACGGGGAGGGAGTGAGGGAGGATAAAGGGGCCAGGGAGAGGGGACAGAGGAGGAGGAGGAGGAGGGAGGGAAGGTGGAAGGGGAGGAGAAAGGGAGGAGGAGGAGAGATTTGGCACTCTGTTGACTCCGGTTTTAAATACTTATTGGGAAGAAGGTTAGAGAACTGTCTTCTGAAGCTGTTCCCAGTCTCACAGACATGCCTTTAGTAGGAGAGGTTTGTAGCAGGTAGTGCAATGCTAACCTTTAGAGTCTCTTGGGTCTATTTAGCTGTGTCTTGTGTCTTGTGTCTTGGTCGGCTTTAATGTGACTGTTTGAAAGCTCAGCACGCAAGAGGTTGCAGCTCTTTCCTCTGAGGTATTTGACCAACAGAACTCACCTTAACCAGGTCAGTCTGTTGCCTTAATTACAGCCCAGTGAGCCACACAACAGACACAGTAACCTGCTTGGAGGAGGGATTAACAAACTTTCCCAGTATTTCTTAAAGCAGTAATAATGTTCAAAAATATATTTTAAAGGACATATTTTAAAAGTCTATACATATAGAAGGATCTTTTAAAGAAATTAATACTCCAATACAGCGGTCGCCTACCAGTGGTCCGTGGACCACGGGTGGTCTGTGAGGTCCGAAAGGTTGGTGACCGCTGCTTTAATACGTATTTCCCACTGATATTGAATAGTGGTCATTCACTGCTTAACCACATCCTAGTTTGTGCATAGATGTGCCTATTTTACACATTTTTTAAAGTTGAATTATTGTCTGGGGGAGGAGCTCTTCCCAGCAGACCCCAACACCATGTCCTCTGGTGATCAGTAGCCCTTCTGGAAGTTGGTTCCTCCCTCTGGCCGCTGTGGTTTTTGTATAAATTGTCCTTTTTTTTTTCTACATAAAGAAAAATAACTTATTCCTTATTAATAAGTCTAAATCCAGTACTAGACATTTTTTGGATAGACATACTGTTTTTCTTATTTCATACATAAAAA